GTCTATCCTACCCAAAGCAATCTACAGATTTGACGCAATCCTTACCAACATACCAACAGCATTTTTCACAGAATGAAAACAAATCATCCTAAAACTTGTATGGAACCACAGAAGGCCCCAAATATCCAAAGTAATCTTGAAAAAGGAAAAAAACAAAACTGGAGATATCACAATTCCAGGCTTCACGTTATATTACAAAGCTGTCGTAATCAAAACAGTATGGTACTGGCACAAAAATAGACACATAGATCAATAGAACAGAATAGAGAGCTGAAAATAAACCCACAATTATGTGGTCAATTAATCTTTGATGAAGGAGGCAAGAATATCCAATGGGAAAAAGACAGTTTCTTCTACAAATGGTGTTGGGAAAACTGGACAGCAACATGTACAAGAATGAAACTGGGCCACTTACTTACGTCACACACAACTATAAACTCAAAACGGATTAAAGACCTTCATGTGAAACATGAAACCCTAAAAATCCTAGAAGAGAGCACAGGCAGAAATTTCTCTGACATCAGGTGTAGCAACATTTTTTCTAAATATGTTCTCTGAAGCAAAAATAAATTATTGGGACTGCATTAAAGTAAAAAGCTTCTGGGGCACCTGGGTGGCTTAGTCGGTTAAGCGCCCGACTTTCGCTTAGGTCATGATCTCGCGGTTCATGGGTTCGAGCCCCGCGTCGGGCTCTGTGCTGACTGCCAGCTCAGAGCCTGGAGCCTGTTTCAGTCTGTGACCCCCTCTCTCTCTGACCCTCCCTTGCTCACACTGTCTCTCTCTCTCTCTCTCCTAGAAATAAATGAAACATTTAAAAAAAAAAAAAAGCTTCTGCACAGCAACCAACCAACGAAACTAAACAACAACCTACTGAATGGGAGAAGATAGGTACCAATGACATGCCCAATAAAGGTTACTATTTAAAATATATAAAGACCTTTTACAACTCAAAACCCCCCAAAAAATCCAATGAGAAAATGGGCAGAATACATGAACAGATATTTCTCCAAAGAAAACACAGATGGCCAACAGACACATGAAAAGATGCTGAACATCACTCATTTCCAGAGAAATGCAAGTCAAAAGCACAATGAAAGATCACCTGACATCTGTCAGAATGGGTAAAAATCAAAAACACAAGAAACAACAAGTATTGGTGAAGATGTGGAGAAAAAAGAACGCTCATGCACTGTGGGTGGGAATGCAAACTGGTGCAGCCACTGTGGGAAACACTATGGAGATTCCTCAAAAGGTTAAAAATAGAACTACCTATGATCCAGTAATTTCACTATTGAGTAGTACTTATCCAAAGAATACAAAAACACTACTTTGAAGGGATACATGCAACCCGTGGTTATTGCAGCATTATTTACAACAGCCAAATTATGAAAGTAGCCCAAGGGTCCATTGATAAATGAATGGATAAAGAATATGTGGTAATTGTACACACACACACACACACACACACACACACACACACAGGAATATTATACAGCTATAAAAAAGAATGAAACCTTGCCCTTTGTAACAACATGGATAGATCTAGAGAGTATAATGCTAAGTGAAATAAGCCAGTTGAAATGATTTCATATGATTTCACTCATATGTGGGATTTAAGGGGAAAAAAACAGCAAACAAAGGAGAAGAAAAGAGAGATAAACCAAAAGAAGACTCTTTTTTTTAAGTTTATTTATTTATTTTGAGAGAGAGAGAGAAAGAGTGTGAGTGGGAAAGGGGCAGAGAAGAGGGAGAGAGAGAATCCCAAGCAGGCTCTGTGCTGCCAGTGCTGAGCCCAACATAGGACTCAATCCCATTAACTGTGAAATCATGACCTGAGCCAAAATCAAGAGTCAGACATTCAACTGACTGAGCCATGCAGGCACCCCCAGACTCTTAACTACAGAGAAAAGTCAGATGGTGAATGGAGTGGAGGTGGGTGGGGAGGATGGGTGAAATAGGTGAAGGGGATTAAGAGTACACTTATCTTCATGAGCAATATATGGAGTTGTTGAATCACTATATTGTACACCTGAAACTAATATAACACACTATATTAACTACACCGGAATTAAAATCAAAATTTAGGGGTGCCTGGGTGGCTTAGTTGGTTAAGCGTCCGACTTTCGCTTAGGTCATGATCTCTTGGTTCGTGGGTTCGAGCCCCGCGTCGAGCTCTGTGCTGACTGCCAGCTCAGAGCCTGGAGCCTGTTTCAGTCTGTGACTCCCTCTCTCTCTGGCCCTCCCCTGCTCACGCTGTCTCTCTCTCCTAGAAATAAATAAAACATTAAAAAAATAAATAAAATAAAATCAAAATTTTAAAAAATAATTTATTTCCTCAAAAGCTTGGAATATTCTCTGGACAACCAAATTAGAATGGTCTCTTATATTATGCTCAAGGCCCTCTCTCTAATTATTTCAAATGACCTTGGGCAAATCCTATCACTGTTTCAAATTCCACTGGTCAAATATGGTGTTGGCTCTGAAAAGCGGTGTGTGGCTTTTGTGGTTAGGAACATAGACTTTAAGTACAGATTTAAATCTAGCTTTACCACTTATTAGTTATGAAGCCTTGCGAAAAATTAATTTGTCCTCTTTGTGAATAATTTCATCTTTGTAGGCCATACAGTCTGTAATGTGACTCCCTATTTCTGCCACTGTAATGCGAAAGCCGCCATAGATAATGGCCCATAGATAAACTATGACCCAATAAAACTTTATTCTACAGAAACAGGCACTCATCAAATTGGGCCTATGCCATAGTTTGTAGATCTCTTATCTATAAGACAGAAGTAGTAATCACTTACCTTCAAGCGGTGCGGTAAGAATTAAGTTGGTTACTATCTGTTTCTTGGCACACAGTAGGCACTCAACAAATGGAAGTTGCTATTACTACTATTATTATTATTTCTAAGGTTATTCTAACTCATTCTGTGACCACAGATCTATGGCTGTAAGACTTCCTGGATGTGTGGAACAAATTCCACAACTGAAAATTACTCTTCTGAATGGAGAGCTATGTGGAAGGAACATAGATCCGCAAATGTGATAAGCAGGAAACAAGGAGTCCTCAGTAGCTCCTGACCCTAAGGGTTCCATGCTGCAAGGCTAAGTGACTGCTATCCCACTGCTGGGATGATCTCATTTCAAAACAATAACTAGGCAAAGCTAAGATACCAGTTTTACTTTCTAAAGTGACCTGATGCACAAGGTTATGTTTTAACTGCAGGGGCACATTTTTTCTTTCGTGTGGTGGTAGCTTGTCTACATATGGTTTTTAATATCCAATTGAAGCCTTTCATTCGTATTTAATCAACTGTTCAGAGCTGTAAAGCGTGGACTTTCTCCTGCAGTATATTATCCTACCACAAACTGCAGATAAATGACATCATCTTAGAGCTCGGAGCAACAAACTATGTCACACCAAGGTCTTCTGTTTTTAGTAAGGTTGTTCTATATTAGTCTTCGGTGTCTTGATAGTTAGTTTGGGGTAATTAATGAGGGCTGGTGACCATCTTGAGCAGAAGCAGCTGGGAAAACAAGGATGCGTGGCAACTAGTTAAGTTGTTCCAACCACCACCCCTCTCCCCGCCCCCACATCCTACTTTTCACTCAATTCATAATCTCTGTCTAAATCCTTGGGCCTACTCAGAATCACTATTTTGATCAATAATCCAAAATCAATGTTTTGGATTCCACATAAGTGAGGTTGAATGCACATACCAAGCTAACTTGTTCAGGAAAAAAGCGGTAACAGAACTTGACGTTAGGTAAAATATATTTATTTTTTGTTTATAAATGTTCACATTCGCTGTTGTTAAATAGTTGTCTTATAACATGAAACATATAAATCATCCAGAAAATATCAGCTTTTTGCTTTTACTGTGACAAAGGTAAATGATAACAGAGTAGGAACACTTTTGACTGAAAATATGAGAAAGGGCAAGATTATATGATGCTGTGGCATTTCACTCTGAAATGGTATGTCACAAGCAAAGCAGTTTAATTCGTCCATGTGAAAGCTATCAGGTGAGGCAGAGATCAACTCCAGAACTGCCTATTCTCATCCAGTGGGATCATCACGTGGGATCAACCACGGAGAATGAGGCTGGCGGAGAGGGGCAAAATGTGTCAACCGCTGAGAATACTGGTCCCCTGCAGGATTATTAAGTTGGTGATGCTGCTTATAGGTTGACAAAAAATTATAGTCAGGTAATAAGTCACCCAAATTATTAGGGCAAATAATCACTGAAATAATCTAATAGCCTATGTTATTTAAAATACTATCTAACAATAGTCAACATATGAATAACCCATTTTTCATTGCTATTTACTTTCAGCACCTACTTTTACATTACAATATTTTAAGTGGGTAGTAAGAGTTTTCGAACAGTCATATCTGTGTTCTTACCGATTCATATTGAATCTAGAATGCTGTCATGCCCATAAGCTTTCAGAATCTCAGCTGATTAAACACTCCATATGAAATGCTTAAGCTGTTGACATATTTGCATCGGTGTCAAATGAGTTCTAATTTTATATCTATGTAGTTCTGTTGCATACCACGTTGTGCACACACAGTCATTGCACACATGTGGTAGTAATCTGTGTTCTGGCACTAAAACAGCCGGCCCTGAGCAAAGTCCGGGACTCCGGGAGCAAACAAGGCTGCAGGGGCCGTGACAAAGTGCGTGTCCTCCACCTGCCGGCCAGTCACTTGCGTCACCTGACAGCTCTCTCCCAGGTGGGGAATGAAGCCTGGGTCTCTCACCCTTAAATCTTTGCTCTTTGCTTGGACAAAATCCAGATGCAACTTTGACAGGCTCCTCATCTGCCAGGAAGCAGACTGTGCTTGATTTCACAGATGTCGCTGGAAAAATTTCTGAGTTTCATGGGTGCGAGTTTTAAGGGATGGGAGTTAAAATCTGGTTTGATATTAGCACAGGTTTTGGTAAAAAAGAGAAAGAAGGTGTCACTAAGCCATGGCCATGAGCCATTCAGAAGGACTCAGGCATGGAGAACAGCCCGTGCAGGCGGTCTCAGGGCATCACAGGAAATTCCTCTGTGCCGGGAGCAGAGGGAGGCATAGATGATCTCTTCTAGGCACTAAGGTGGAGTTATAGAGAAGAAGAAATGGTAATGGTTAAGAAGGTGATGGGAGGTTGACAGCTACTTTTTCTGTCGCCTAAAAGGAGTCATTAGCTCATCTGCTGCTACGGAGTGTCATTATCTGGAGGTACTTCATCCTCAGGACAGCCCAGGGAGAAAACAATTTTTAGATTACAGGGAGGTACAGTCCCCTCCCCTAAAACTGTACTGTTCTTACTCTTCTTCCAAATTAACAGACTACACACTATACTTGGGTTTTCCCTCAGGCTTAAAAATCTTTAAAATCCCCGGTATAAGAGTGGTAGCTGTCCACATTCCTTTGGGGGAGCAGTGTCCTTCTGAGAAAAGTTTATAGCTTTGTTTGACCATGTGAAGTCCTGGAAAGGTGGGCTCTGGAAAGGGGTCGCAGGCAGATGCTGGGTTCCAGCCGTGCCATGGGGCCAGATCAGAGGTTGTTTCCATGCCGGGATGGAGCCTGGCATCCCGGGGCCCACAGGATGGCGCCCTGAAGAGAGCTGGGAAGGCAGCTGTGCTCACCAGACTGCCCACTGCCTCCTGGCCCCTGCCCCTCCCCGTTCCCTGGAGGGGACACGAAGCCACCTCCACTGGGGAAAAAAATTCAAAAGCTCAGCACTCCTTTCAAATACCTGGAAAAACCAGATACGTATTAAAAACCTTCTAATAATAATTTATTGTTTGTTTCTGTATAGGAGAAGCCTCTTTTCTTATGGGTGTCAAGGGCTTCCTGTCATGCAGCCCTTCGCCGGGGCCATGAACCTGACCCTTACTGCAGGGGACTGAGGTTCAAGCAAGGCACTGCTTCGTCGAGTTTTGGTGCATCTGTGTGCAAACACCGTGTGATTTTCGGGTGGGTCGTTGAATCAGCAAGTTCAAAACAATGGAAATCTTAGTTCTCAGTCGAAGGAAACAGAAGAGATTGGGAAACAGAAGAAAAAGACAGCCATCTCTCCGCCCTCCTGGAGGTGGGAAAACATGTCCCTAAGGGTTACTGCTTCTCTGGCTTCCTTGTCTCTGCCTCCTCTTGCGGATCTGCCGCTGGAGCTGCAGCTTGTTGGTGAAGAACATCTGCCTCCAGCCCATTTCCTCGGCCAGGGCCCTCATGTCAGGCGTGATGCTGTCGCAGCAAGACTGAACTATCTTCTCCCACAGCTCGTCAGACATGCACAGCTATGGGGGGGAAGACAGAGGCAGGTTACGTTGGACACCGGGCAGGGAAATGTCATTAACTCACAAAATCACTATCTGATTCCCGCTGCCTGTGAAGACACTGCAGGGAACATTACATGAGCATGAAAATGTACCAGACCCAGCCTTTGCCTCCCTTCTTTCCTCTTGCAAAGTGCACAAGTGCTTAAAAGGACAAAGCAGTATTTGAATCATGGAGGGAACCAAGCCCTGCTCTCATTTAAGATGAAAAATACACGACAGTGATAAATAGTACATATACCATGTTATACAGGTAATTTACACATACAACATTATATTGTTAATTTCCAATTAACCACGCAACAGAGGCTGATAACGGTGTGGTCCACGACCTTGCACCCAGCGCTGCAGCAGCTTCGAGAGTGAGAGCACTGCTAACTCCTCCTAAGCTTGCCTCCATTAAAAAAAAAAAACAAAACTTTTTTTAATGTTTATTTGATAGAAATGTGAGCAGGGAGGGGCAGAGAGCGAGGGAGACACAGACACTTAACTGACTGAGCCACTAGGCATCCCAACTTGCCTCCATTTTAAACATTCACTTAAGCCATCTCTTCACTGGGCTTGTACAGCTGACAGCTTAGTTTACTGCAGGCTGCTTGGTAGCAAAGGGCCTCATAATGAACAAGGAGCCTTCAGACAGCCAACCGGCACCCACGCCTGGTGCCGGGGTCCCCTCCGAGTCCTTTGCATGTTTTGCTCTGAGTCCTTTGCACATCGTTGACATCACACCACGCACCAGAACTACACAATTCTGTGTATTCGCTGGGCCCATCTGGCACACGGCACAGTGAGCTGTTCTCTGCAGAGAAACTTCTCTGAGATGGTCTTCTACAGTCTGGGCCTTTAACTCGAAGCCAAGAGGCTAAAGGACAGATAAGATCCCGCTGGCCATTTTGAGGCATGAGGCCATTTTGTCCTCCCTCCAAGTTCAATGCTGCCACAATTCAGCTTCCATTTACCCAGGGCTTTCTAGTATGACATTTTTTTAAACATTTATTTATTTTTAAGAGGCAGAGGCAGAGACAGAGACAGAGACAGAGGGCAAACAGCAGAGGGGCAGAGAGAAGACACACACACACAGAATCTGAAGCAGCTCCAGGCTCTGAGCTGTCAGCACAGAGCCCGACGCAGGGCTTGAACCCACGGACCACGAGATCATGACCTGAGCCGAAGTCGGACGCTCAACTGACTGAGCCCCCCAACTGCCCCGGTATGACATTTTCAGCTGGCACCATTGTTTATGGCACTTTTACCCTCATCAGACTCTGCTACTAAACACTGTTAACACGCAGATTTCCTGACCCCTTCCATAACATGCCCCAAATCCTTCCTGAAGATAAAGCTTCTGTTATATTTATTTACTATCATGAACCTTGGTGCTCACCGTGGCTTTTTGTATACGCAACAGGAACATTTAAAGGTGCTTGGGTGCCTGATGTTGCACAGTATGAACTCCGGTTGTACAAGCTGTGCTCTAAGTGGGGTTCCTCATGGGCCTGGGTCACAGACACTCCCTGATTCCATCTTTCTGTGCCAGTTCTGTGATCCGGGAAGCTAATCAGCAACCCGAGTTCCCTTTTCATCAGTTCCATTCAGTGGTCGTTATATGTGAAAACCCAGAAGTGGAAAGGGGTAGGCATGGTGGACAGTTGGTAAGGCGCCCAGAGTTCCTTTAAACCAGTGGTCCCAGAGCACACCAGCCTGGGCTCCTGCTTCCTGCTCAAGACCCTCTGAGACACGCCCCATCTGTAGGCACCCCCGCAAAGACTCCTCCAGCCAGGAGGCAGGAAGGTGAGAAGCCAGTGGACCCCCGAAAGATCTATCACTGACGGAGCATATGCTAAGAGCAAGAAATGTTGTGTTCATTACCTTACATGTAAGGTATATGTACACATATGTACATATGAATGTATGTTTAATACATATATGTATTTATGTCTATTTCTTTAAGAAATTATTTTTTACCATAAAGTAGTCTGAAGCAATCTCGTGAGGGATACGATGATGGAAAGTAAGGCATGTAGTCAGTTTACACACAAGGCTGCGGCAGAACCACAGCATGCAAGGAAAGTGGATCCCTGTCTAGAATAGGACCAGGATCCCAGGAGCACAAATTGCTGCTTCCTCCATGATGAAGAATCCTGTGTTACTCACCTGCCTCTAAGTTCCTGGCTGGATGCCCTAGAGGGCAACACTTTGTTGAGGGCTCAGTACTCGTCTCTCCTGTGACAGTAGCCAGATTCCTCTTGATGAGAGGAGGCTCCTACTGAGTCCACACACAGGCCCCATCCTTGCCACCTGGCATTGGTTATGAACCCAGCGAACAGTAGGGTGGCCGGGGAAAAAAGCTGATGGACGGCCACAGAGCAGAGCATCTTCCCCATCTAATAACTTAAAACCTCCTCAGCACGAAGTGCCTTTTGATGAGCAGAGCAGTCACATGGGACACAAATATCTATACCTTTTGGTTGATGCTGAGAAATCCATCCAAATACCTCTTTACTATGAATCATCACGAATTTCTGAATCTTGTTCTTTTCAAGACTTTGACCATCTACCCAAAACAGTAGGCTTAATCCCATAGAAACCCAAGAGCTATTTTTCAAAAGCGGAACAACTTTCTACAAGCAAATTCTTGTCTGTACTCTAAAACCCTGGGATACAAGCTGTAATTTTCCTACGGAGGTGCAACACAGGTCTCAGCAAGGGTCCTGACAAGCCACCGCCATGCAGGCTGAAGACACTCTGAGCATCACTGAATCTGCTGGATCATGAGAAGCCAGTAGTACCGCTGCTTACATCACAGTCTGGACCAGCATCTGAGCCCCCCTCGCCACTGGCAGCTTTAGGGCTACGTGGAGAAGCAAACTCAAATTGTATATGTACCTTGAAAACTAAAAATGATCCACAAAGAGCTTTGGCTGCCTTCTCATGGTAGGAAGTAGATCTAAGGCACTGGGTTTCTTGAGATGGCAGTCTCTCAATTTTTGTGCATTCATCTCCAACTCCCTGACATACACATACCTTGCCAAGACATCTAAAGTATCTGCTGCTTCCTGTTCATCAGCATGATGTCATCAATGTTGACCAGCACATAGGAAAGTGATAGGATCAATAGCTCTGTGATATAAGTATCACCCACAGCTAGAGAATGAACATAATCTTGATGCAGAAAGAAGGTATATTGTCATCCCCACTGGGGGAAACCAAATGTATTGTGGTGTTCTTATTGGAAAATCCAGGAAGACATGAAGATGGCATGTAATGGGGTGATGGCAAAGGAGGAGGTGAGAAATGGCCGGAGTGTAGATGTATTTTGCAGGTAGAGCTCATAAGACTTGCTAATGAATTAGGTGAGAAGTAAGAGGAAAGAGAAGAACTAATGATGAACTCTTTGGCTTGAACAGCTGGGTGAATGGTGTTGCCAATGACTGACAAAATAACACTGTGGGAGAAGTAGAATTGCTAAATAGGTATGTGTGGAGGGATATCAAGAGGTCTGGTTTTGACATGTTAAATCTGAGATGTCTATACTACATCTAGGTGTAAGTGTGGAGCATGCAATTAGCCATAAAAGTAAGGAGTTCAAGGGGGCAACCTGAATTGGAAACCTGTATTTGAAAATTATCAACGTGTAGGGCACCTGGGTGGCTCAGTTGGTTAAGCACCTCACTCTTGACTTTGGCTCAGGTCATGATCTTGCAGTTCATGGGTTTAAGCCCTGCGATGGATCCTGTTTGGGATTCTCTCTCTCTCTCTGCCCCTCTCCTGCTTGTTCGTGTGTATGTGTTCTCTCTCAAAATAAATAAAACATTTAAAAATAAGGAAAATTGGGGCGCCTGGGTGGCTTAGTCGGTTAAGCGTCCGACTTTCGCTTAGGTCATGATCTTGCGGTTCGTGGGTTCGAGCCCTGCATCGGGCTCTGTGCTGACTGCCAGCTCGGAGCCTGGAGCCTGTTTCAGAGTCTGTGACTCCCTCTCTCTCTGACCCTCCCCTGCTCACGCTGTCTCTCTCTCTCTCTCCTAGAAATAAATTAAAAAAAAAAATAAAGAAAATTATCAATATGTAAGTACTATTTAAAGCCCTGGGATTAGATGCTATCATGTAGGTGTGACTGTAGATAAAGAAAATGCCCAGGGAAGAGTTCTAGGACATTCCGACATTAAACAGTCAAAAAATAGAAAAGTTTTCAGCCAGGGAGGCTGAGAATAAGGAAGAAAACCCAGATAGCAATCCAGGGTGTCACATGCTGTCAAAAAGGTCGGAATTTAAGACTGACTGGTGTTTTTGCAAGATCAAGTACAATGGCAACCTCGACATGAGCCATTTCAATGGCACAGTGGGGATGAACGCCTGGCGAGTGAGTTCAAGAAAGAATAGGAGAGGAAGTGGATATAGCCAAGTACAGACACTCTTTTGAGGGAATTTTGCTTGGAGAGCAGAATAGGGAATCAGGTCAAGGCATTTTCTCTTCTTAATTTATGTGCTGATGGAAATGATCCAATAGAAAGGTTAAGACTAATGACAGAGGATAAAAAAGGGATAGCTGTGTGAGCAAAGTAGCTGAACTGAGGAGCTGAAATGCACAAGTGGAAGTGTGAGTGTAGGTAATAAGAGGGAACATTCTTACCTATAACAGGAAGCTCACAGAGCAGATGGATAGAGTTGGGGAAGGGACAATGGATGCCTGGTGATGGCTTCTAATTTCTCTGTGAAATAAGAGGCGACAATAGCAGACATGAGTGAGGATGAAGACTTTAGGAGAGAGAAGAGGGTGTAAAATAGACTTCTTGGAGGGTAAAAGAGAGTAAGAAACTCAGTTTCTTAGACAAAAGGTATTTTATAAGTATAATGTAGTCTTTGGTTCTGAGTCAGTTCTTGACGCCAGACGCATGCTCAAAGAGTATGGTCCCAAGAAACACAGAAAAGATGATAAGCAAAAGGATGAAGGCCTCTTGCAT